GTGTCAGTGTGTGCACACAGACACATATATTTTACACCCACTACAACAAACTGCCCATAAGGGAAAATGATTTAGGAAGCCTCTGTGTTAATTAATTCTCCCTATGTTAATTTTTATTTTTTGCCATTCCCAGCAAGCATAAAGAAAACAATAGAAAGCATCTAGGGAGACACAGTACAGGCAGATAGGTTTAAACTCTGAGTACGGTAATGTTCTCAAGAGCTTTAGGAGTACAGGTGATCAGATAATTTTCTTCACATGTACTATACATGCTTGTGCTACTCCCAATGGCAGCATTCTCATGGGTTCTAATACCAGTGAGAACTAATTCCATTCTTTTTAGACATTATTGTTTTCCATAAATGTAATTTCTCATTTGGGGGCATATTTACTTTTGATGAATCGCACAGATATCCTTAATATATATAGTTATTGACCATATAACTAAGTCTATGGCCCCTATATTTGTATTTGATAAAAAGAAGTGTACACAGAAAATATTACTTAATGTATGTAGAGCCATCTCGTGGGGGAAAGGGGTAATTACAACAGTCTGTCAAATAAACACACTCTTAAGCAAGTTTGTGTTTCAGTCCAAATCAGATCACAAAGTTCTACCATCGTTTTCACTCCAAGAGAGATCTGGATTTAAACTGAACCATTAATTAAACAATTATGCTTCTCTTAGCAACTGTAGATCTGACTGCATGTTTTCAGTCTTTGCCCTGCTGTAAGATTAACCTCTACTCCAATATAAAGTCTACTGCAGCCTCTAAATCCTGTCTGCATGATTTGATTAAACGATTCTGTAAAATACCTGTGTTTTGAATTAGCGCTGGATAAATAAGTTAAATTGCATCGCCAAACTGAACTTGAAACAGTGTCTCTACCTCATCTACAAATTGAAAGGACTTCAAATGCCATCAAAAGAAATAGAATTTAATTGTTGATTCTTATTTTTCTATATCTTATCTCTTTATATTATCTAGCAGCCCAGATTTTCAATACTCTGCATTTCACATAAAGACAGTTTAGCTGACAATAAAGTTAACCCTGACTTTGACTTAGCTTAGATTTTGCAAAGCATTTTCACATGATGATTAAGTAAGCACTTTGGCGATGACATGTTCTTAAAACCCTTCTTTAAATTATGATTAACTTCTTGCTACTGTTGTTACAGTTTGATTAAGGACAGATCAGTGGAGCGAGTGATTCATAAAGGTGTTTCTTATTTCTAATCTGAGCTGTTGATCTCCTCATGTGTCCTGTGGACTTTCCTGATTCACCAAATTTTTGTTCTTAGCCTTTAGATGTCTGATATATTGAGCCAACTCTCGTTTCTGGTAAACCCACTCTGGAGTCTGGTCTGCTTGCATTGTCCTCCTCCGTGAAAGCACCAACCACACTTGAAGACGGATTCTTTAAGCCACTTTCTCCTTCAATTAGATCTACCTGGATTTCCACTAGTTTCTGCCATCCTCTTTCAGGGCTCAGTTCTCTCCAGTCAAATACCAGTCTTTGTATACCTATGCATGCCTCCACTCAAGCCTGGGAAAATACTTTGAGAAACCTTTTTGGGTCCATGTAATCTCCCAGTACCAACTTCTTCTCGGAGATCTGAGAGCCAGTAGACATCCTTTCTGCATTCAACGTCAACATACCTTCAAACAATCTTAACATCTATACTCCTTCCCCAGACAAAACCTGAAATCACAGCATTAACTACTCATTGTAAGAATTGTACATACATTTTTTAGATCCATTGCTTGTTTTCTCCCATTTGTTCAGTAAAAAAAGCTCAAACATTACGTAACATATATCCTGTCCTGGCCTGTCACCGTATGCCTTAGGAGCTTTGCAGTTGTACCACACACTTTTCTATTTCCAGATTATGGACTGAACATAGCTTGGGAAATGTGTATTATCTCATCCTATTTTAGTTCTCTATAGCTTTATCCCTGACCCTTCTGCTTTGTTCCTTCATTTTCAGGATGATGTTTGCTCTCTAAAGCTCTTTAACAAATCTCTGAGTCCTTTAAATATCAGCTGGATTTATACTCAGATCAAACAAAACACAGACAGACTCCCAACTTTCATTTCAATCAAAAAACACTGACTTTTTGGTTTGAACATGTTCAATGTAAATTCACTACAACCAACAGATGCTGACAGTCTGCTCTTCTTCTGCCACTAGATGGCATCCTATTACTTTGTTAACCCCTTGAACCCTACGGACCCACCGGTGGGTCCAGCTGCTACATGACTTCGTAGTTTTACCAAACCCCCAGTATTGATGTAAAAAACATATTTGGCACAGTTTGGTGACATTTATGGATAAATGTGCCAAAATGGCCTCTCCGCCTAAGAAATTTCTCACTAATACCATTCTAAAATAAATATGATTCATCTGATTGAGTCCATATTTGGTATATTTTTACACAACACTTAGATTTGAAAGTCTGTACTACTTTTTTGTGCTATAAATAATATTTTGGTAGTGTTTTGCAATGTTTATTTCAAAGAAAATTTTGGCGAGGTTCAAAAAATGCAAAATATTTTGTATTTTGTCCCTAATATTTCAGGCAGGGTCAAAGCTACAATGGTGCTGACACCAGAAAACCATTCTATGACATCTTACCTTTACAGACATACCAAAAGTTTCTTCTTAAATCTAATAGCTTTGAGGCTATAAGTTATTTACTTTTGTGTGTTTTTGTCAGGCAGAAATTTATTTATACCCCCTTAGGGTGTAAGAGGTTAATACGTTGCCGTGTGTTTTGACCAGTCTAAGGATTTAGATCATTTGCAAAACTCGGAGCTTATTTCATTAACCCTCTTAAATAAAAAACTATCCTAGAAATTACACAATTAATTTAATGGTAGTGCAGATCTCACAGCTGGGGATGGTAGAGTATCAGGGAAGGTCATTTATACAGAAAACGGAAACAAATAGCACTCTCTACTAGGATCCTCAAAATATCCTGCAGGATGCTGCTATTCAGAGGCTGCAGAATGCTGCATATCGCTGCATTGGTTTAACTGGAAAGGGGCCCTGCAAGAGACAGAGAGGGGAGCTGAGATGATATTCATGCACTTCACACCCTTGTCTTTATTTGTTTAATCATTCCTGTTTTGTTTTTTTTCTACTATCTATCTATAAAAATAGTTTTTAGACAAGTATGATGATTGTGAACCATGATTCACACTGTTTTGATCTGTTGTGTGCTATTGCGAATGGAATAAAACAATACATTTGCTTGGTTTCATTTGATTTGATTTAAAATTGGAAAGTCAAAAATTAAACTAACACCATTGTCATTGCATCACAATTTCTTTCCTATTTTCATAAAATCATCACTATGACTTAGCCCTTTAAAAGCCAGAAACTTAAAATAATTGATAAAAAAGTCGACTGTTTTAGAAAAAGAATTGTCATCGAACGTTCTGACAAATGAAATAAAAAACAAATATTTTGTATAAGTTAAGATAGATCATTTATTTGCATCAGTTTTGATACCTTATGGGTTTTGTTAATAGTATTTTATACGTTTTCTGTTTACTACATGTGTCTGATTGTGTAAGTCAGGGTTTTCAAGAAATATAACAATACACTACCCATCAATACTTCTTGATATTAGAGTCAAACACTTGCTGATTCATTCATGCATTCAGCAGCAATGCCTTGGGTTCATCTGCTATTCTTTGTTAATGTTTGATTTGTTAATAAATGTTTCTTTGTTGCCTAAATTGAGCCTCGAGTGACTTTTGTTATCATTGTATCATTTATATTATGTAAATGGAGCAAGAAAAGCAGCATTGGCTACAAGAATATCTGCTGCATTATAATTGCTTAGGTTAATGTCAAAGCAATCGGCATCATCCTTAAAAAATAGTATCAGTCGATCTCTAATGTAATTTAGAGTTTTATGATACAGAAAGTATTGCATAATTGTGAAATAAAAGAATAAGGGTTTTCTATTTTTTATTTAATCAATCTAAAAGTTTTCTTGTGAGTTTGTGTTGGGTCCCCTTTACTTTGATTTCACCTAATAAAATCCACTATAAGAACCTAATTTCAGTGTAAATGCAGCAGTTGTGTGAATTAGAGCCATTTTGTTAACTGTGCCTTCAGTCAGTCTTTTCTTTCCTGCAATTAAAACAAAGACCAAACATCCCGGCTGTTAAAATTAGAAGAGTTCTGTTCAGTCCATTTCAGTTTTCTTCACAACCTGGATTTCCATTAGTGCCCCTGCAAGCAGAGTGACGTCTTTTTTACGTCACCTCCTGGAAGACGATGTTACATAAATTTCCATCTGGGAGTTCATCTTGGTTACAGTCTACTTGGTATATGTTGTATATGATGTAAACTATCTAACACCACTCAGCACTCATATATTATTCACTGTGCAACCTAATCTGCATATCCATCTCTAGTTAAAGTGGATTACCTCTGAGAAGGTGTGCTGGATCCTCTGAAAACAGAAATGCACGATTTCTACTCTACAGTAAAAAAAAAACAAAACAACAACTTTGAAACTTGACCAATCTTCTAAAGCGATAGAGCATGTTTGTGATGTAGAGTTTGGAGTGTTGAACTTAAATCACAAGAAATGTGGTTATTTTACAACTATGATTCCTTTTTTTAAATTTGTTTCTTTGCTTTTAAAACAGTTTTGCATTAAAACGACAAATTTCCCTCCATTTCTTCATGTTGTAAAGATGAACTCAAGATACTTAGTTTGATAGCAGCATGAGTTCTTTACATGGGTTTGTTGATGGATGGATGGATGGATGGATGGATGGATGGATGGATGGAGATTTAAGGGAATATCATAGGCTATAATGTTTCTAAATGTGGATATTTCTCTATACTGAATTTTCATTTCCAAACTGGAAACTGGAACAACCTGGAAAATACTTACATTACATTCCCAGACTGGAACTTTATGTATGAGTAAATCATCGAGTATAAAAAGGGGCTGTCAGAAAAAAAATTGAAAATGCTTCTGATGTGCAACAAAGAGAAATAAAAACATAAAGTGCAATGCAGTTTTTCAGTTTTCCCAGACCCTTTGTCAGATCCACGATTCCCCATTTATTTGGTACTCACAAAGTTAAATGTAAAAAGAAGGAAAACTCCTCTGAGCACCTCAGCTGAAGATTGGTGGCCCCTGTAAGATATTTTGGAGATGTCCTCCACACCTGATACAGCTTTAATGTTTGGATCTGAAACTGGAAACGTAAAAATAGGATACTCTGACTCTCACGGCCAGAAACACTCAGAGTAAAAGTAAAAATTCTTTAAAAATTTGTTAAAAATAATAATGAATGCAAAAATATCAACAAATTGTATTAGATTAGATCAATCCCCACAAACTGAACCTAAATAACTTGATGTAGACAAACATTTTACATGACAAACATCACATTGTAAGGAGAAAGGCGATATTCAACTGTTTAAGTTTTGTCACATTAGACAAACAACATGAAGCCCAAAAAGAACAGCAGATAGGGTGAAGAGAATATGAATTAGAGGTTATAAGACAATATGCAACGGCTATCATCTCAAAATGGGACAAAAAAAAAAACTACTAGTCCAAAAAGTTATGGCCAGAAGCGACCAGAAACCCTGTGGTAACACTGGAGGAGCTGCAGAGCCGGAGTTCAGATGGGACAATCAGCTGGCATGAATACCAGTAGTTATGTACTCCAGGAAACATAGAGTTAAGATGAGGTTGTTTTTTTGAAGAGCCTGCAGAAAGCCAGAAAGCAGAGCAACAGTTTACACTCTGGAACAAGGTGGTGGCAGCATTATGCTGAGGGAATGCTTTTACTCAGCAGACATAGGAAAGAAACATATGGCAGACAACCTAACAGCAGGGAAGTGATCCTAGCCCCTCACTTTATACACATGGCATACAAATGGACTCTGCTGTCTAATTCTAAAGGGGAAGCTGAAGCTGAATCCAGTGACTTGGGTTAAAACTTTCCCCTCCCCTAAACCGTAGTACATGTGAGGGGAACAATAGACTCACATTTAGTGCGTAACCACTTTTCAGAGACAAAACTAAATTTCTGCAAGTACATTCGGACAGAAAGATCATCTCGCTCTTATACAAAGGCCTTCTTAAATCACAGCCAGTGATTGCTTGCCTTCTGACTTCCCCCTATCTGAAATATTCATACAAGAGAACAGATGGCCCCCTTTGCTCTTGCTTCCTTTTCTCATCCTGTATACACTTTTATCCTGTGAGTGAGCCGTTTGAGCGCAGCTACATGCATGTATAACCTCCTCTCGTGTAACTTGGAAGTGCCGGCAGACCCTTTTGCTATATACATCCTCAAATTACAGCTGAGCAAGGAGTTTCACACTGCGCTCTCTAAAGCGGCTTCTTTCAGCTTCAAAGGCAGCACTGTCTGGCTTTTATATTAGCCTTTCATCTTTATAAGAAATCTCCATACTGCTCTTAATTTGTCAATCTTTATTGGAGTTTTGCCAGCCGGCGCTGCAATATTATGAGTCAGGCGGTAATAGCTTTAGAATTATGAATTCACTTTAGTCGCACAAACACAACCCAGAACATCTCCTTAATTGATCTCATCTGAATTCACTTTTAGGCATCAGTTAAATGGTGAGGACCGGAGCTGTCCTCGCTCGTTAATGAACACGTAATCAGACCAGTTCAGGCTTTTTAAAGATCAATGATTAAAGCTGAATAAACTGGCGTTCCCATAGCCTCATAAAAATTATAAAAAAAAGAGACACTTAATGGGTAATCGTGCATTATAAGAGAAGCACTCAAACTGAAGAGAAAGTTAGGGAGGAGGGGACTGACAACCATTAATAAGATTGCTTTTTTTTTGGCATTTCAATAAATTTGCAAATCAGACAAGGTACCGGTAGGGTTTTTTTTATGCTTCAGAGCTAAATGTAAAAATTATGTTGTTTTTTTTAATGTTTTCTCACCTTTGAGGCATTAACTGGGTACACGCTTGGAGCTGTGGCTCCACACCTGCATTCTGGTGTCCCTGGATGGATTCCTAAAAACAATGGGGCCCAAATTAGCGGGAGTGAATGAGAGAGGGAGTAAAAAAAGACGTTTGTTATTTTCAACAATATCTGTCTAAAATGGTTAAACATGACTCACTGACTGACGCTTCTGTGTGAAGAGCACTGCATGCATTTCCATCCTTACTATAAAGGGAACAGAGGTGCAACATGCGGATGTCGTATTGTATTAGTCAGAGGTAAATGGCATATTAGGTATGCACCGATGGGTCACAAACTGGTTTTTAAAAACGTGTCTTTAATCTAAGGTACTGAATCTATCAGAAATTTCAAAAACTATATTTGAAATAAAATGTAGCATAAAAATAACTAAAAATATTAAAGCATTTTTAAGCCAAGCAATAAGGCCTTATTTCAAGCCAATTTGTTTTCTTTTTCCTGCATTTATCTCAAGACGGGAAAAAAGACTGAAATATATCCCTTGCCAAACAGATGCAGCTGCAGCTGTAAGAGCTTCAGCATTGCTTTGAAGATCTGGATATTCAAGTAGTAGTCAGGTTTTTTTTATGCACAATAGCTTAGTTTTAGTCATAAACCAGGTCCAGGTCAAAAATATTCAAATATTGTCAAAGATGTGGACTTCTAACAGACATCTCTGATTTATTCATTTGGTTTTAAATCACAGGGAGATTGCTTTCTTTCAACAATAGTTTTCTTCTTGCTGCTTTTCCATAAAGGTCCTATTTATGAAGTGCATCACTAATAATATTTCTGTTAACAGATTCTCCCACCTGAGCTGCTGATCCTTGCACTTCCTCCAAAGTTAGCATTATCTCTCAGCTGCTTTAATTATTGTTCCCCCTGTCCAACCTTTAGTCTCATCAGTTTAGATGGACAGCAATGTCCTATAGGTTTACTGTACATCGCTGTTTTCTGTTAGGTGTTTCATGTTTGGGAAATTGCTTATAACCTTACTTTGAACTTCTTCCAGACTTGAAGTTGGAGAGGTTCACTAGACTCTAGGAGAATCAGAGAAAAGGAGGCTGGTTTAACTGCAAGCCAAAAAAAACTTTTACTTTTGCTTTTTAGTTGGAATATGTGAAAAAAAAAAAATATATATATGTATCCTATTCCTTAAGCTTCACGGTAATGGAATATGTGACCAAATATGGATCTAAATATTGATGTTTGTGAGTATATTGAGAAGAAATTTATTGGTGAGAATATTTTTGCAAGTTAATGTAGGCACTAAAATAAAAAAGATGTATATAGTAGCTCACAATCCTTAACAGGTAACACATAATTATCAGGAAAAATACAAAAAATATATTTTAATAAACAAAAAATGCTTGATTTGTGAGAGAAGCATTATACTTTCCTCTTTAAAAATGGTAATTATAACCAGAGTCATCATTTAAAAGTATATCTACAAGTTTGCAGCAACAATATTTGATATAAAGCAAAATAAAAGAAAACCAAATATTGTTTCTAAATGACAGACCCTATTTAGTGATTGTCACTCAGTGAAGTAGACCCACTAAGAAATTTTACGGATTAATTGACATTTTAAAGGAGGTAAGAGGAAGCAGAACTATTGTTTTGGTTATTAAAATGAAGCTAATTTTAACAGATATATCAGCCGTTCAATCCGGCTGTCAGCAAGTCAAATACAAATATTTACAATAACAAAAAATATTCATAAATAATGCCAAAATAATGGAGTAATTAAACCTTTAGAGTCAATAAATTATGTTAAATTGTTCTTCTCTACTTGTTGCCTGTATCAAATGAGGTCTTTAACGTCGGTAAAATTGTTTACAGAAATTTCAAAAAATAACTCTCCTTCGAGCCGGATTCGAACCAGCGACCTAAGGATTACTATGTATCCGCTACAGTCCTCCGCTCTACCAACTGAGCTATCGAAGGGAGATGCCACTGACGGGCAAACATAGTGGTAATATCACCATTAGGGTAGAGAACATGTTATACTTTTCTAATGCTGCGTTCACACCGGGGGCAGCAAAAGCAGCAAAATCGCGTCTGCTGCTTAATTTTTGCTGCTTGTACCAGTAGTTCTGACGCGCGGCTGAAGCAGCTTTGCTGCTCTGCCTGCGCGGTCCAAAAGTGGCTCTGACGCGCGTTGGGCGGAGCTTCACTATCCTTTCTCTGCCTTGCAGCTATATTTGCTGTGATCGGTGGGAATAAAGTAGTTTTAATATGTTTTTAAGTGAGAAAATACACCTGAAAACTTCATCAGTGCAGTCAGTTCATCCAGATTACAATCCTGCCTCCCAATGTTATTTCTGTCGGAGCCGCTCAGACCCCCACATACCGGCGGTGCGCCGACAGAAGGAATCCATTCATCAGCAGCCTCTGGCGGGTCGCCTCCTCGCGGTTTACCGCGGCGGCTGGTAGGTGTTTTTCATCTAAATAATCCGATCTGCAGGCACCACAATAATAAAAGCGAACATATTCTGCCGGCAGATGTATATATTTTAAGTTAATTATGCGTTAATAAACTGTTTAAGAGGAGTAATCAGAGCGGTCTGTGTCATCAGCGCTGTGTCTCTCTCCCAGCCAGCTCCCAGATCAGCTTCTCTGATTGGTTGACGCGGCGCGTCGAGCAGCAAAAATTAAATTTTTCCATCTCGAGCAGCAGCGCGTTTGCGGCGCGTCACGCGCGTCAGATGCCAAAACGCGCCCGACGCGCTGCTTCAGCTGCTCAGACGCGCTGCGCTTGCTGCTCGAAACGCGCCGCGGGACCTTTTGCTGCGCCTTGACGCGCGTCAACCATTGACTTTGCATGTAAACTCGCTGCTTCTGTCGCGCCAGCTGCCCCCGGTGTGAACGTAGCATAAGAGTTACATGTTTTTAGCGCGTTTATGTAACCCGGCCTCTCTCTCGCGGACTCCTGTGCGAGCATAAAGTAGTGTATGCTCTTAAATCTTCGGCTATCCTGCGGCTAGCCTGCACGACACTCCAACGCCTCTTAAGTGACACTCCGCTAGCTATGCATTGAAGGCTAGTTAGCCCGTGTGGTACTGGCAAATTTACACAAAAATACACAAAAGAAACGACTTTTGATGATCCCCAAATGACAATATATCGCGTATTTTAATTCATATTTCAAATCTATTTACTAATCACTTGCTGTCTAACAGTGGTCTCGAACCCACGAACCTCAATCTGCGTCGTTGCTCCACCAATATACGATAGTTTATTCCCCTCAAGGAAAGCAGCTCTTCGTAGACACTTTTACTCAATTTTGCCCTCTTTAAAATTTTGAAATCAAACCTTTTCAAATAAAATGCCTATATTTTGCAGTTTTTGTATGTGGTATATAGTTTAATGTACTGTGGCAAGTGAAGTTCAGATAATTTAAATGCCCATTTTAAACGAGAAATAATTGTATTGTTTAGTCTAGTAGGCCCTACAGGTATACAAAACAAAAAATATACATCTAAATCAGTGGCGGCCGGCCCATAGGGGGCGCTGGGGCACCGCCCTCCCTGATAAGAAGAGAGAAACGTAAAATATATTTTTAGAAATTAACTCATAAATGTCAGTTTTACTCTCTAGAGTGTGTACCTATAAGCAAAACAAATTATATAAACTACATTTCCCTATCTACGGTCATTAATTTGTGGATTTCCACAGACAGACTCCTACCGTCTCTGTTCTGGGGGCTGTGATCAGACTGACCCACATTTGCAGAGAATCTGTCAATCATGTACTATTGCTAGGTGAATTTAATGGCCAATCAGCGTCTCGGAACTTTATGGTCTTGGGGCGCTGAAAATACTGCACTTTAACAGGCTTCTGAACCCAAGCGCAGGTGCAGACAATTAGAGGGACGATTGCGAATGTAACGAACGAGATGCAGCTTCCACCAAATTCGGTGAGATCCTTATTTATCTACCCGTTTGCCAGAAGAACATCCCTGTTGTATGATATGAACATTTCATGTCATGGTTATTGTGACTGTGACGAATCCACCTCGTCGCTTAAAACAACCTCTCTAACTTTGCGCGCCACACACACATTCCTGTTATACTGTGTTTGTGAGGACCAATACATTTGCGCTGAGACCAGTAGCTCCATGAACTTAAAACACACAAGCTGTCCTGGTTACCTGCTGGCGTATTGAGGGTGCACACTTAATATTTCAGTGGGGTTAGCCGTGTGTGTGTGTGGGTGTGTGGGGTGTGTGTGTGTGTACGTGTTTATGCTATGGGGACTTGTCATCTTCAGTCTGGCTGCGTCTTTGCTGGGTTCAAACCCAGTTTGGTGTAATTGAATAAGTCAATGAATCTGTGTAAAAGAATTAAGTTGTAAAAATTATTTGTTTGTTTTTGTACATCAATTGTTTGTGGAGGTAATATATGGACAAAACTGATTAATGAGAAGAAATCAGAAATAAGAGAGCCTGAGGTGAGGGGCTTAAACTATTTAATGAGGGCTGTGGGAAGAAAAGCGGCAATTTTTGTTTTCTGTTTCTTTGTTCCATTGCTGGTAACTGGAGGGAGGCTGAGGCCCAGAGGATCTTGTATATGTTTAGTTTCTTTTGCACCCTGTTTTGAGTTTTTGAGCTCAATAAATCACCAACACCGGTAACCCGACTGAGACTGGATTCTTGGAGGCCAAAGAACCCCGTCACAGTGACCCAAATCATCACTGTTACTGTTATTATATAGTAAATTAAATCATAAATTGTATGTATTGTCCAATTGTTTATTTGAATTCTTATTCCGGATTAGTTGGAGACATACACTAGGCTATATCAGCCCCACCAAAAATATTTTTCACCAGCCGCCACTGATCTAAATGTATAACTGAATGCTTTGTTCTAAATATCTACATCTATATAAAGTATTTACAGGTGTACATCCAGCTCCAGATTATTGAGTGGAGTTTTCCCTGTTTTACCACACCAATGGCATGACACAACAATAGGCCCCTAAGCAAGATTATCTGGGTGGACCCCATATGAAGTACAACACTCTGGATTATCCATAATTCCAAGTTGTAGAGTAAAAAATAAAATACTCAAATACATAGTTCTTTTAAGATCTTTATTGCAGTTTGAAACATATTATATGAGTGTATTTTTTATCAACCGTCTAATGAACTATACACAGTTATTAACACAGTAATTAAAAGTTCCACTGTCTGCTTTGCTATTGGTGTCGTGTTTAAACGGCTCACCATCATGTTGAAATATGCCATGTATTGGGGTATAAATAAGGTCCGGTCAGTCATTATAAATTCTGGTGGGTTTTAAGAGGAATTTTTCTCACCCTTACATCCGCAATCGTAAGCAACTGCAGTCTCTGCTTACCGATATTTACCCCATTACCAGATACAAAGCTGGAGCTGTCCATCCTATGTACTCGTCCCCATTTTCACTTACTGGTAGTAAGTCTGACAAAGTGGAAAAATTGCTAATCTTCTTTTGGAGCGTGCCTTAATTTAATGCATGCTATCACATGCATTTAATAGATGTTCCCTCTGAGGAGCGGGTTCATGGTTGTGCATGTGCATTTTTTTTTTTTAAGTGCAGAAGGCGGGTCTTTTCAAAAAATTGTGAAAATCCCCCACTACACCTTAATGGAGTGGCTGGGGCTAAACTTTTTCTGCCATTACCACTGAGTCAGGATTCAGTACAAAAAACTGGAGCTGTAGCACAGGAGCTGGAAGTGAAAGAGGAGTTGATAGGGTCATGGGCCACACAACTGTGACACCAGCAGGTTGCTTGGGGGAGGGGACGAAATTATGTTAGAGCCCTGATGAGGAGGGAGTTGGATCCAATCTTTCCTGTGCATCTGGAAGCTGTATGTTGGCCACAGCGAACCTCTGACACTGGCCCACATCACCACTCTGGTCTCTATTACACCAAAGCCGCAGTTCCAACAATAAGGGACTCTCCTGCAGGCAGTTAGTAAATGTCCCTGCTTCTGTTACCTTATTACCTGTCTAAGAGAATATGGAATAATGGTAGGGGAACCATGGTAAACTGCTAATTTTGCTGATGTCAAATCCACACGAACACACATACAGACACGTCAAATTCTCTGGTTTAAATTCTTGTTGTAAAAAAAGGTTTTCGAAGTGCATCTTGAGGATCTTGCAGCTAAGTTGGTCTCTTGCCTCCCTCTAAGCAGTGCTGTAAGACCTCAGGACAGAGTTTCCTCTCACAAAAATCCTACATCTGGTCCTTGTTCAAGGTCCGCCTCTTCAAAGATCGACCTTTCAGGAGGTAGGCCTGGAAGGGGGCATCACCAGCACTGTTCTCTCCAGGGTTTAAAATAAGAAGGTGAAAAACTGTCGCTCAAATAAAACTAATAAAGCAGAAATATAATCATCCACCTGGGAGAAAGCATTTTAGGCGGAAGTGGAGCTACAAGCACATCTGAAGCAGCAGATCCCTACACCACCCTTCTTCAGTGTCTATGTCTTCTGAGAAAAGCCCTCTATGCCCTAAGCAAAAGTGATGTATCTCTGCTGGTCTGTCCAGACATGTTGAACATGCTAATGGTCCAGTAATTGTAATCAGAGGGTCCCTCTTCTTCTCACTGTGCATTTTATCTACGAGGACCTTGATCCTCCTGGCGGTCTGCTCCACTTCTCTCGATCACTTGCGGCAATGCAGCGCCAACTAATCATATGGACAAGGGCATGTTGGAAACTGAACAAACTTCTCTGGCCAGAAGCTCTGTTTGGCCAATTGAATAGCAACAAAATCTTACAGCTGAAAGATGACCTTGTTTCAGATTTAGGCTTCGACTTTTGATAATAAAAAAATAAATGTTTTTTAAATTTAAATTGGGATATAGAAATCAGTTTAATCTATGATTATTTGATTATTTCAATAACAACTTTAGATCCATTTAATACTTTTTTACGCATGGTTAAACATATTCTGCTTCATGCTTCACAGAGATGAAAAAAAATCAGAGCTTTTGCTTTGGAAAGGACTATAAATTATATGGGGATAACATTTTTTACTAAATATCATGCCAGATGTTCAGGGCTCAATCAGCTCTGTAAGCATAGCCCTGACTATAGCACCTGTGGTTTGGTGCTATAGGCTGAGTGTTTGAGCTGGAGGAAAAAGTAGGAAGGCGTCCTGACAAAATGTATATCCTTATCTCGGTTTGGATAACCACATGCCTTAAGAGGTTTCCTGACATATTTGTGTTATTTTTGTTGTCAAGAAATCCCTTGAAGCATGTAATTATCCAGAGGGGGCACCTCTGATTTAAACCTGTTCTGTAATTGCAATGACCCTGATGACTGAGAATTTACACAGACATGTGTTATACTGGCGGAGTAGGTGTCAAGTAAGATTACATCTGGGCTCCATCTTTAACACTAACACCTGTATTTCACTTAACAAATTTCTTTTTTCGGGGGGTACCAAATCTTACTTTGATTCGACAAACAATTAACAAGATTGGAGAGGTGGGTAGAGTAGCCAAAAATCTACAAGCACTACTTTAATATTTTTTTACTCAAATAAAAGCAGAAAGTAGTGATCCAAGAAATTCCGTAAGAGCAAAAAAGGTCTTGGTAAAACGGCTACACAAGTAGCCTACTGAGTAATTTTTGGAAAATAACATGATTTAATGTTTAAAATTATGTTATCAGACAGACGGACACAAATTCTGGTAATACAACGTATAAAAGAGAGTAAAAATAAGAAACAGTACAACATGAATTCCTACAGAAAAAATACTTATGCATCAATTTTCTTAAAATATATTAAAACAAATCTGTACAGCAGATAATGTAGATATGTTAGGAAAGGATAAAGAAGGTACAATATATGCTGCTCACTATATTTACACCTGATCTTCAAATAACTCAAGTTATTCCTGGTGGGTGGAGTAACCACAAGATTTGCTCAAGTGTAGCAACACACCCACAATATTATTCTTTAAATAAAAGTTAAAAGTATAGTAAAGTAGAACCACTCTAGTTACCCTCTCCTGCCAGCATGTACACTCTGAATATATGCAGTCAGTCCATTGCAGTTGTATGGTTTGGTGGAAGTTAGTTGAGGACCCAAATGCAGAGATGAGTTTTGATGTTTTAATGAAAAAGCTAACAGAAACAGAATCCAAGAACTAAAATACAGGAAACCAAAAATCAGCAGACATCAGTGGAAAACACTCATGGGGAGCCAAGTAACAACAAGAAACCAGCACAGGGAACTGCACAGGAGTATACATGGGGGACAAAGAATGGGCTAATTAGCTGATATGGAGCAGGTGTGGATAGAAGTAACTAGAAGGGAGCTAGAGGAAAGGAGACAGGCACAAGGGGGCATCAGAGAGTAACTAAAAAAATGCAACACAGCTTAAACATAACTAGAAAACAAATAGAAAGACACAAAATTGAAACGAAATGAGTGACCAACAAAACAGAATGACATAAATAACTGAAAACCCAAAAAGAAGTTCAAAAGGGGAAACTTTTAAGAAATAAGTTAAACAGTAATAGAGAATGTTTGTTTTGATGCACTGTGACATCAAAACTAACATGTTTTGGGGGTTTTCTGTCCTGAATCAGGGAGGCTCAGGATGACACACTGTGTTGAAATTTAAACTATGTAGGGTTGGATTTAACCCGTGACTTGAATTGAGACTGAGTTGGGAAATAATGACTTGCTCTTAGCTCTGCTTATTTATATTTACCCATATTGAGCAACATGTTTTGGTAAAGTCAAAATATTGTTTTTTGAGCTTAAAACTTGAATTTTGCTCTCAGTCAGGGAGCAAAGTTACACATTTATAGGGAAAAGGTGACATTTCTCTTAGCTTCAGCATCATTTCATCACCCTAACTCACCCTCTACAGGGCATGTTTAGAAGCTGTTAGACAGCTGTTGAATGCAGCCCTGCTCAGTTTCAAATATGGCCACGGTAAAAATAGCAAGCCAAGCTTAAAAAAGAACTGACACCAACCGAGTTGGACCGTACACTCTCTTCTTTTTATCGCGTGACTCAGCGTCACTTTTACCAAAGCTTTAGTTTGATTGAGTTTAGTCTGAGTTTGAGGTTGACTTCTTGTAGCTAACATAATGGAGAACTTGGAAAAGCAGCTGATTTGTCCCATATGCTTGGAAATGTTTACAAAGCCCGTGGTGATCCTACCCTGCCAGCACAACCTTTGTAGAAAGTGTGCCAATGATGTTTTTCAGGTAAGAAAACAAATGAAAGCCACTCATTTTTTACTTTAAATCATATTCAATCCAAGAGACACTTTTATGTATGCCTCCCACTGGAATACTACTATTTTAGAGTTCTTTCTGAAATGTTTTAAAGTTATCTCTTTAAAACGTAACACAAGTTTATGTGTAAATGACAAAAAATACGGCTAGTTAAGGACCTAAGGACCAGCTGCCCTTGAATATCCTTTTTTGGAACCTTTTTGATGAAATAAATGAACATTAGAAATGTTATAGTAAGTTGTTAAAGTTGAATCAACACATTGCTTACACCATATGAACCCACTTACTGTTTCTCAACACTATGGCTTTGATTTTCTGTTCATCCACTGGATTAGCTTTTGATGACTGTTTATTGAAGGAAGCTACGATATTCATCCATCACAGCCCTGCTAAAAAAAAACTAAAAATAGGGTTTTAACTGCTTTGGCTTCCAGGCTGCAAACCCCTATCTTCCTACCAGAAGTAGCTCATTGACGTCCGGTGGCCGTTTCCGATGCCCGTCCTGCAGACACGAGGTGGTCCTGGACAGGCATGGCGTCTACGGCCTGCAGAGGAACCTCCTGGTTGAGAATATCATTGATATGTTCAAACAGGGGTCGAGTAGGTGAGACAAAGCAGACACCACGCCTTGTCAACATATGATCATACAACAACCACATGCCTTTTTGTATTTAATTTCTATTTTATGTGATACAGTAATACACATTTGCAGATGATTGCAAATATAATAACATGCATACAAGTGAAAGGAAATGCTGTATCTGCAAACTGTGCCATGCAGTTTTCTTTAACCCCCCTTTCAACTCCACTCCAGACAGTCACCTTCCCAAATCACTTAAATGTTAAATAGGGTGCACAGTGGTGTAATTTAATCACAGGGTGGGTACCACTGCTGGGCCTTTTTTAATTAGAAAACAAAGTGAACAAATAGCCTCATTAACACATCTTATAGTACACGGTTCAATCTGTCATCTGGAAATGGAGTTTACTTTAGATGAGCTGCAGAAATCACCAGCTCAGGTTGGAGAAACTCTCCGATCTAAAAAGAAGTTCAGAAAAAGTACTTTTTGCAGTTTGCCATATTGGAGACATGAGAAACATGATTTACACTACATATCATCCCACACACACCGTTACTTTGGTGAATCATGATAGTAGCATCTATTATTTTGCAGGGAGAAGAATGATGAAGCTAAATACAGAGATGTTTTAGAGAAGACTAATTTGGAGACTGAGAAGTTTCACCATCTGATAAAACAAGGATTGTAAACACAGAGCCAGTGCTGCTTATTAAAGCACGATTATTTGTTACCATGGCCCAGTCAAACCATTTTCCATTTCCTTTCACTTTTAAATGACTTTTTACTTTATATTATTTCTGACTCCTAAAACACATTGACGTTTGATACTGTGATACAAAGACAATAAGAAAAGGTTCATGTGGGGTGAATAGTTTTGTAAGGCAGTAAGTTGTTCATGACTTGATGGTTGTACCTTCATTAGTGTGAGAAGGAAGAAAAAGGAAGTATCCCAGTTATTAATAAAGTCAAAGCCCCTATGGCTTTAAAGTCATTTTGCTGAGTTGGCTTACAGGATGTTTCTGATAGCAAAAGCTTGTTAAGCATAAAACCACAACACCCCAGCTCAGATTTAAGATTCTTAATTGAGAGATAATGTCCCAGCTCAAGAAATCAAAGAAGAATTAGACTCTTATTATACATTTTAATTCATATAGTGTAAAAATCCTATACCTGTGCACTCATCAGCACACAGCTATATCGATTACCCTCCTGACAGCGTAGGCATTAATGGAAAAGAATGTCTGACGGATCGTCCATAATCTGTCAAGGTTTGTAACAGTGACATTATCAAAGTGACTAGACATGTCACATCAGTATGCAGTGAAATGACAGAAAGGTGTTGCTGTGTTCATCACACCTTAACAGCAGCAGCAGGCCAACACCAGAGAAGAAGGAAGAAACGCCCATGTGTGACGTTCACGGGGAGGAAAAGATCAAAATTTACTGTGTAACCCACGGCGTACCCACGTGTTCAATGTGTAAGGTTTTCGGGGCCCACAAAGACTGCGAGGTGGCACCTCTCGGCAGCGTCTACCAGACAAAGAAGGTGAGGGCTTAGTGTTTTCAAATGTTCTCTTTACTGCAGAACACCTTCATTGATATGAATACAGCTGAAACCAGAGATGAACAAACAGTGCATTAAAAGACCTGTAACCTTTTAATTTCTCCAAGATTGATAGTAAATCAGACAAAACACTCTTTAGGGTCTGTTAGGATTAACCACATTATTCTTATTTTCTTAAATTCAGTAACTAGGAGATATAATAAAATTATTTCTATATTTTTATTATGGCTTTCTTTTAATTCTGAACTCTATATAACCTCAGTACTTGTTGGCTTTAACAGCAATACATGGCCTAAACACTTTGGGTATAACAGAACAAATTTTTGGACACTGTTAAGTTCCAATAGAGTTTAAGTATATTATTAGTTACTATGAGTTTAAGTCTTTGACCATAATGCAGGAGACCTAGGTGCATATCCCAGTTATGTCTGGAAAGACATCTGAGGTCAATGACGTTTTGGATGGCTCTTAAATATTGCTTTCCACATTACATAATATATATATATATAATATAGTTTATGACAAAATACTATTTTCAGGATTATACAAGTCTTCTCGTTTTCTTCAAACATACCAAAAAAGGTTAAAAAAACAATCCACTGGACTTTGTTTCCAAGTTTGAAGACGTTTCGCTTCCCATCCAGGAAGCTTTTCAATTCAAAATGTCAGAAATAGTGTTAAGTTCAGGGCTAATATACAGTAGCCCAACAAAGCCTTTAGAAAACATGCAAATCTGCCTGCCCACTTTCAGAGATATAGACAGGTATGGGGCATTGCAGGCTAACAAAAAAACCAAACGACTCCCATTCCAAAGGGGTGGAATCGTTCGTCTGTTTCAATTTGCATGTTTTTTAAAGGCCTGTTGGACTATGTATAAGAGCCTCAAACTCAACTCTATTTCTGACATTTTGAATTGAAAAAGCTTCCTGGATGGGAAGTGAAACATCTTCAAACTTTGAAACAAAGTCCAGTGGATTGTTTTTTTTTTTTTTTTACTTTTTTTGGAATGACTATGACTTGGATGACTGAGAATCTTCACCAGCATATCCTTCAAACATAATTTTCATCACAATCAACTTTCAATTTCAGTTCAATGAAATTAAAGCTTTAAAATTAATCTTTCGGAATAATGGCTTCTTCTTTGCTGAGCAACATTTCAGCCCATCCAAATACAGGACAGCTTTTAGCCAGCTTCTCACAAAGTCATTCTTTCCTGTTTTGGGGTTGATGCAGATATTATGCCACAAACTAATATTTAAGATTTTTAGATGCAGAATGTATCTCCTTTCTGACCAGTATGATGGTTGGACATTCCCATTGTGTTTAAACATTCATATTGTTGTTTGAACAGATCAAAGCGGAAGCTTCAGACATCTGGAAATTATCTTTGATGGACCAGACTTGTGTTGGTCAATTGTGAATTAATTCTAAAATGATGCAATATTGTCACATTAGCTTTATCAAATTACTTAAAGGCAGAGTAATTATTTGTATAGAAGGGTGAAATGTTGGTCATTCTTTTTGTATGTCAATAACTGGTTTAAAGTGTCCCTGATTTAATGCCATACTCCCTCCCACCTTGCCTTTGCCTCCAGACCGAACTGAGTGACGGGATCGCCATGATGGTTGGGAACCACGACAGGATCCAAGGCATCATAAGTCAGCTAGAGGAAGCTTGTCGTGTCGTAGAGGTTGGTGTCAAGCTCCTGCAGCATTCGGCTGCTCGCAGCAGTCATAAACTTGTGCATGCACTAACCCACCTGTAGAGCCTTACCCACTAGTGTAACATGCCTTTGTCACAACTACTTTATCTGCTTATTTCTGTATCAGTCTGTGGGCTTCACACAAAAGGAGAGAGAAAAAAAATTGGAGTTCAGTGCCGCCTTGTGTTCCGCTTACTCTCTTCATTCACTTTCATTTTTTTTTCTGCCTCAAACACCTGATTCATGCTCTGACTCTGTAGCATTAAGAGAACAACCAGTGTAACCAATGGGGAGAAGAACAGTCAGCCTTTGTTTGGTTTCTTTCACATTTAGACTTAGTTCAGAAAATACTCTATCTATTTTGGTTCCCCATGTGTCACCTTCAGCAACTTTACTCAGATCAGACATAAGGAAGGAAGCGCGTCTTGTAAAGCTCCTTGCAAAAGTAATGCTGCTGCTTAAACTTTTCCACACATGAAAAACAGGGATGTTGGTTTGTAGATTTTGACTCACATGCAGAATCACATTCAGAACCAGTGAGTTTTAATGTTTTATTTACAAAAACCACCAAGACCACTTACTTCAGTGATAAAGGTGAGGTAGCATGTATCTGTAGGGGTTTCATGCAGAGGTCTTAGCAGACCAAACCCAAGCGGTTGAGGGGAATATGAGTGAGATCCGAGAGCGTTGACACTTTCAGGAGACGTGATGCTGGAGAGCGGGCAGGCAGGTGATGAAGACTGATAAATGCTTCAAACAAGTATGACCCTTCGCCTCCTTATATACATCCTAGTCATCTTGATTGAGAAATATTCTCAGATGTGCAGCAAGACGAGTTGACCCAGCCCCCAGCAAAGCTCCTCTCTGTGACAGGATGCTCACTCAGAGCAGAAAAACAGCAAAACCCCAGAGACCATCATAGAAACAGGCCTCAATGTTTTTCTAAATTGATTTTATGTGTTAAATCAACTCAAAATGTGTAAGGAAAATTAATCATTTGAAAATACTTATTTAATAATGTAACTCATATTGCTTTTTGTTTTCAGCTCACTTTACTCTGACACTATTACATAATCCAGTACAACCTATTACCTTTAGGTTGTTGGCAACTACAGTCAAAGGGAGGAATAGTAATCTTGTAGAAAAAAAGGGTTGAGGGTTTAAATTCCATAATTCTTGTTCAATATATGCGTATATGCCCTTAGGCAAGGCATCTAAGCCCAAATTGCCCAAATTGCCCATTCTCCATAAGTCAGGCTTCAATATACAGTGCATTCCTTTTTCTTTCAGTTCAAAAGCCCTGTAAGAATTTGTACATCTTCACCATTTGGAAATTACCTGATTATTAAATCAGTTGCAATTCATAAAAAAAATCTACTTTTGTAGTTCTGTAATTCATTTTGTTTTGAACTTTGAATAAAGTTTATTTAGTTTCTCCAGGTACTGCATTGATATCGGTATCTTCTGATTCGGTCATATATTTGAATCCACTCAGTTTTCTTCATTGTGTGTTTTTTTGAGGCATAAAGTCACAGCATTTGCTGTGGAACCTCTAAACAAGTCCCAGGACGTCTGGAAAACTAATTTCATGAATCCATGATTTTCATTCTAGCAAACATTCTTGTACTCCAAGCTCAAGTATTCCACAGCGCATACTGGGAAAGTCAAAATAGTTGCTGGTTTGGTGTCTTAGCCCAAACAATGTACACCCTCTATTGCTTTCTGCTCAGTTAGGTAAATATATCTTTGCCATCAAACTACAGAAATGGCAGAAAGGTGTGGAGTGTAAAACATTCTGTGAGCTGGAGAGGGATGGGATATCAAGTTCCTCATTCGCATTTAAAGAGGCCTCCCCAACACAAGGGGCTCTAAGGCCGACTAAGAGCAGGGGAACAAAGGGCACCTGAGGAGCTAAAATAGTGAGGTATTCAGACCAAAGCGTTGCAGTTACACTTCTTACGGACCACAACTGAAGGATTTAAATAAGCAAAAGACTGATTTAAAAGCATGACATGTTCACTTTATAGGACTCCGGGTGCTTTACAGTGTAGAACATTAGTGAACTCCAGTGGCAGGCGGTACATCTGGTACTTTTTAAACCCTTGATCAAGAGCTTGCCAAAGGTTCCTTTTCACTGAATGTGTAACAACTGGAAATGAGGGGATGCTGATGCTATCTTGGTAATACAAAGTGTTGGGGTGTCAAGGGCTTAATATCATCAATTTCACATTTTAATAAAATAAAGAACCAATAGTATTCAAATATGAAATGTAACAAGCACAGGTATAACCGAGAGGAAGGTTAGTGTGAGGGTGAATACAGAGATTAAGTAATAATGAACCCCAGTTAAAGGTGTTGTGGAGGATTTTTTTAAAAGATCTGCCCTCTCCACTTAAAAAAACAAAAGTCATGTATAAGAGCATGCCCGAGCCCATTTCTTCTCGTGCACGCCCTGTTTAAAATGTGCTGTTCTCATAGCACATACAAGTTTACTGTGTCCGAATGTCCACTCAAACCTCAAAATACCTCAATCACTATATAGAGCGGGGACTATTTAGTGGACTTTATAGTGAACTCAGTTAATTTACCGTTTGGACAGATAATCACTGCTTTTTGCCCCGTTGGCGACGTAACTCCTCCTGAACTGCGCAGTGCCTGCGCCATCTTTGTTATTAGTCGGCTCTGTCGGGTAGCGACAGGCTACGGTGACAGTGGGCCGCTGTGACAGCAAATCTCAGAGTGTTTTGCGAGGAGAGCTCTCCGTGCAAAGCATTCTGGGTTGTATCTGCCTCTTCTGAGGCTTTTCATTTCTTCTCATACACTTTGTAAACACTTTTTCTCTTACGACCCTCGGCCATTTTCAAAGAAACTGTAGCCCACCACAGATATGCATCTGAAAGTGCGCATGCGCAGAAAAAGATTGCTAACGGGTTGAGCATGTGGGACGGCCTCACTTAAAAATATCACCAGAATGATTGACAATTAGGAGGACCACTTATATAGATGATCCACCCGGAAATAAAAGATCAAATTCTATACCTCTAAGCCAACACCAAACCTCTTCTCAGATCCAATATGCATCTAATTAGAAGAAAATGAAGCATATAGCATGAAAATAAAATATATCACACTCACCACAGATGCTGGTTATTTGTAAACAAAATCCATCCTTCTGTTTTTGTTCAGGAAGACTTAGCATCTCCATTTAGTATCAGCCAGAAAAACCTTTGACAAAAGCGGATCTAAAATGCAGATTGCTGCTTGCTTAATTGGCTATAAACATTTTGCCCAAACTGACCAATCAGAGGACAGAAAGTTGTGACGTTTGGGTCAGCCCACTAGCTGGTCCTGAAATCTGATTGGCGGAAGAAAACGTTCCTCAATAATATTGTTAAAGTAACATCAGCCAGTACTGCTGACTCTGAAGGCCCTGGGCAGATTTGATTACCATAGTAACGCACTAAGGCTGATATCTGACTGGATCAAAAGTATAGCAACTACATAAATGTAATGAAAGAACCTAAGCCAAGAGAAATGCTAAGAAATTAAGAGAACAGATAGTTTGTAATAAATAAATTAAGCTGGATAGAAGAAAATTTAAGTTTAGGTTGTGAATGTAGGTTAGTGTTGCTGATAGATTTTAGCCTAGTATTGGAGGCTTTGAAGGCTTGACCCACCACTGTTTAACTCGCGCCATCATCTAGGGAAGCGTTGAATATGCCAGTGAGTAATCTTTCATGAAAAGAGCATTGCAGGACTACAAACCCACCTGGCAGACTGGGCTGGGGGAGCGTTAATTACAGAAACAGCCAAGGGATCCAGGTAGCTACTGAGGAGCAGCAGAAATCCACAGCTCAGGGATAATCTGATGGCACAGGGAGGGATAATCTGATGGCAGGATATCTATTACTGGTGTGCTTTAAAAGTCTATTATTTTAGAAGAGTGGCAAATAGAACATCATTAAGGGAAGTTACCACATTTCAAAGCATGTGGAGAGATTCTTATATTTGCTCCAGGCAGGTAAGACCACCTTTTAGCCCTCCGTGCAAAACTGTATACGAGCTGCTTAAAGCAAAGACTGCATCCAAAAACCAGTCCAACATGGTGATGGCACATCATGCTAAGCAAAGAAGCAGGAGCAGACAACCTGCTCAGAGTTCCCCTTCTTCCATCCAAAGCTGCAAAAGAGATTGAGACTGGCACAGAAGTTTACTGTCCTGCACGACGCAGACATACAGGCAGAGCTGTAGAGGAATGGTTTCAATTAAGCATATTCATCATGTGTCATAATGGCCTAATCAAAGTCCTGACCTGGATCTAAAAGAGAATGTTTGGCAAGCAATGAAAACTGCTTCATCTGACAGACATTGAACAAACAATGAACATTTCTGTTGCTGGATGTTTCAAAAGTTCAATAAAAAAAAACAATAAATTAGTCGGACATTATATCAACAGTGTAAAGGGCTATAAAAACCTTAGTGGGGAATAAAAAAACTTGCTGCAATTGTCTTCGATTATCAATATTCACAGATGTTATCTCCCACAAATTACATTTGCATACACTCACTCAGCTTACCTAAATTATTTATGTGGATTGAATTTCCTGTCTTTCTCCTTCTTTTCTTTCCTCGTCTAACTCTCTGGATCCCAGGAGAACGGTCAGAGGCAGAAGACCAAGGTGTGTGAAAAGTTTGATCAGCTCTACTCCATGCTGGAGGAGAAGAAGAAGGAGATGAGTCAGAAGGTGACGGCAGAGCAGGAAGAGAAGGTGAATTACATACAGAGCCTGACAAAGAAGTACGGAGACCATCTTGAGGAGAGCTGCAAGATTGTGGAGAGAGGCTTTCAAACTATGGAAGAGACAGAAATGGCTCTTTTCCTACAGGTCAGAAGAACGGTTTGAGTTTGTATCTTTACAACTAAACTCTATTGTCATCTGAAAATGTGAATCTTTGTCTCTTTCAGGTTGCAAAAGATCTTATAAAAAAGTGAGTCCTAATTTACAGCCACATAAATATATATCTGCAAGGCCAAAACTTGTGTTTTCCTTCTTGCTGCTGTGGTTTTGAAAGTGTATTTTTTATTTTTCTTATTGATCCTTTCATGAATGATTCACTAAATCAACATGTGCTGCTACACTGTGTAGCAAAGTCACACCTTCTCTCTGGCTGAAGTGAAAAATAATTCTGCGTAATGTTGCACATAACTATCTTGAGCTGCGGCAACCTGAAATAACCTGTGGAAAGTGCTGAAAATCACAAACATATGAATATATTTCAGGAGGTGCTAACTTGAGTGTGTGATGCTGAAATCTAGTCAATGGATGTTCTATTTTAATCAATTACCCACAGGATTGGAGAGGCATCCAGTACAACACATTTGGATAAAGTTGAGAGCGGTTATGAGAAAATGGATCACTACAAAGTTGACTTCAGAAGAGAACGCAAGGCTCTAAGCAGCATCGACTTTATCGGAGGTGAAGGGTTGTCGCTTATTTACCAGATTTTTTGCTAGTTTTCTGTCTTCTATCTGACCGCAGCTCACTTTTATTACAGATGATGATGACGAGGATGAAGAGGAAGTAGCCGCAGAGGGGGGAGAGGGTGCACGGACTGTTTCTGGAGGGGCTGCAGGTTCAGCCACTTCTGCTCAGCCTAACGCCCCCGTGCAAATTACCTCATCCCTGATCCCAGCAGGGAGCACTGCTTCAAGCTAACTCCCATCTATCCAAGCAGCATCTTAACTAAGTGCTGAAAAGCTGCCTCTCATCAGTGCTGATTTCTGATCAATTCTGACTCTTTGTCAAATCAAAACGGGAAAAGAAAGCGTGAGAAATTTTCAATCCATGCGAGACGAAGTCTCTGATTTGAAGAGAGGCAGGACTAGAGGAGGAGGAAGACAACAGTCATACAAATTAGTCTTATTTATTTTCATCATGTTAATATATTTCATTTTTCCTACTTTGACAGATTTTTGATAGTCAATCTGTTGCTTTTTGCTTTAACTAATGCTGCTGACCTTAAATAAATCACTGCTTAATAATGAGAAAGCAGCAGAAAAGGGATTTACTTCCTCCTTGCTTCCATCATGCTGTTTTTTATTACCTATATAACTTTATAAGGGCAGCAGAGAATGAAGGAAAAACATCACTGTGACCTTACCGTACTTTATTAATCTATTATTTTCTTTTTTTGTCACATATTTTCCAATATTCAATTTCATTCTGCCTTTTGGCATATATATATATATATATATATATATATATATATATATATATATATATATATATATATATATATATATATATATATATATATATATATATATATATATATATATATATATATATATATAGTGATATTAAAATTGATTTGAAGTGTATTTCTGGAGATCTTTCCTAATGATAGTACAATTGATTTCTCAATGTAACATCTTCATTTGAATCTTAATAATCATTTTTTTCAATGATTAGGATATCGTTGAAAAGTGCATTTTATCTATTGAACAAATAGGATTCAAACATAGCATATTATGTTAATTATACACAGACGGATGTATTTTAAACTTTTGATACTTTCGAAAGCTAATGATGTATCTTTTTAGGAAATTAGAATATAGTAAATGAAAATTAGAAAAAAACTGAGTTTTTGCTGCTATGATCTTCAAATTCACGGTTCTCTCTGAAAAGAAGATCAATACACAAAAGGTTACTATTAAAAAAGGTGGCTGTTCACAGAGTGCAGCATTCAAATTAACCCATGGAAAAATGAGTCAAAGGAAAAGTGTTTAAGTGAGATTCAGCTCAGACGCTTAGACAAACCCAGCTGCCTTATGCTAAGCCATCACTAAAGCAAAGACGACACAGAAGAGTCTAACCAAATTTAAGCATCGAGCACAATCTAAGGCCATTTTAGGATAAAGTCACAGTTCCAGAGTTTCTGGAATAATGGAGAGGTGGAGATCCAAGTTGCTGCAAATAAAAGCCTTACTGATATTTCTACAGTCAGGGATGATAAAGAACATTTTAAAGTCACCAATGTTGTCCATACTCACAAGCTTTATTGAGATCTTATGTTTTTATTTTCCACACTGCTAAAGTGCCACCTCCCACTTTATCGTTCATAATGTTGCTGTACTTGATTGTCCACCAATGTCACCTGACCTAAACCCCATTGAGACTCCATGAAGTACTGCTAAGAGGAAGATCAGCAATAGCACATCTAATAATGAAGAAGAGCTGAAGACTGTTATTAAACCACTACACCTCAGCAGAACCGATCAGGCCGATCACCATCATTCCACACTGCATTGATGTAGTTATTCATGCTAAATGATAAACATAACTAAGTCTCAATACTGCATAGCATATGAACATACTTTCATCGGGAAAACTTTTTTTTAAAGTTTTGTTTAATTTTCCAAGAAACTCAATTTAGGGTTTCTATCTATTATATAAATCAATTGATCTATTAATTGTTTTATTTCTATCAATCAAGATAACCTTATAAGATAAAAAAAAACATCAATGTAGAAGTGTTTAAATGAAAAATACATTAAAAATGCACTATCAACTCAAAGTTAGTTCAGTTCTCAGAAATGCCACTTAAGACTTTCTGGTTTGGGGGAAGATATACAGAACTAGCTTCTTTAGCCTTATGTATATATATTCCAAATGTATATATATATATATATATATATATATATATATATATATATATATATATATATATATATATATATATATATATATATATATATATATATATAAACTACAATTAAAGATTCAAGTCAATTACCAAACTAGTCGATGATAAAAACAAAATTAATTGATCACTATTAACCGGGTTTATTCATTAGTCTGATTAATTGTTTCATCCCTAATTTCCTTTGATTGCAAGTCATAATAAAAAAGAAAAAACAACAAAAATAAACACCTGTATTCTTCCTTGTGTGATGCATATTTTCGAACGGCAAAGTTCAAATAAATCTTTAATATTCTGATTAAGCTTCAAGATGTTGAATTATTTTCTTATTTCTCCTTGTTTTTGTCAATCACCTCATCCAGTTTCTATGACTGAATGCATTCGCTTTCCACCTCACAGCCAGCTCCAGAGATTATACCATCGTCCAGTTTGTGCTCACGACTCAAGACCGCAGAGGCTCTTCGTAGTCTCACCTTGACAGAGCTTCACCTCAGAGAGTCCATCACTGAGTCCCATCTAATCACTGCATAGCATCAGTGAGTTGGATCTTACAAAATGGCTCAGAGCAGCACTACCAGCTCTCACAGACTATGTGATGTATATAGGATGAGTCCCTCAGTACAGATCTTGTTTGGTATATCCTGACTCTTTAAGGTCAGAGATCAACGGACAAGCAGACATAATGTAGTTTGCTCTCATTAGTGGTGCATATTTGAGCTGTCTATGGTTGCTTCTTGATGCCACAATGACAAGTGCCTCTTGAGGCTGCAGGTTGCAGAGGAAATTACTCTTTTGTTTTCTTGTTCAGAAACTCCTATATACAGAAATCTGTTCATTTTTGGTTTTATTATTTTCATTTCTGAAGTTATGAAATAATTAGTGTGCTTATGTTGCAAATGCAAGGTTCCCAGCTACATTTGTCTAAACCTTAAAAATTTATCTAATACTAGCATTTGATTGGAGCTTCAGTTTATTCTTGTAAGGATATTGACAGAGAAATGTAAGCATTGCATTTATTTGATTTTTATTTAAAAAAATAAATATAAGACGTGTCGTTGCACAACAGAGAAAAATGTCTGGTTGCACATAAGTTTATTAACAAACATAAATATCATAAATACAGCGGTTCATAATCTAAAACAAAATACAAATTGATGTGGGAACCAAAGAAATGTGCATCTTCTGAAACTTTACAAATTGGACACCAACATCAAAATGGCAAGGTACAATCGGACCAGTCCAGCCCGGTTACGCTCCATCATTTTCAGGTTTTAAAGCTATGAATGATAAAGTGATAAAAGCAGCACTATATTGCACACCGCATGTTTTTGTGCTAATAAATGCAGAACGAAAAAAAAAAGGAAGGAAATGAACTCTTTGGTGAAGTGGAGAGGTGGTTTTATTTCCCAAACAACTCCATCATCCTTCTGTTGTTTTGCGCCTGCTGGGCCAGCTGCTCCGCCCGGGACATCTCCATCATCTCCCTCAGCAGGTGGAAGGTCAGATCCAGGGATATCGGCGGTTCTTCGGACCTCCTCCCCCTCTCCATCGACTCGTCCCCGCGGTCGGCGAAGCCGCCTATGAGCGCCCTGATGTTGCCAACTTTCCCCTGCAAGAGGCGCCGCGTCAGCTGGAGCTGCTGCGCTCTGCTGAAGATGGACGGGGATCCGCCGGGATAGTACAAGGATGGGAAAGAGTTAGAGTCCCCGTTTCCCAGCCGAATAAAATACTCCTCTCCGAGGCGCTCAAGAATGGGGCCAGATTGCTGCTGCTGGTCCTGCTGCTGCCGCTGCTGCTGCTGTTCGGAGTTTTGGCTTTGGAGAGCAGGGATGCGCAGGGGACCGCCTGGGCTCTCAATAGCCCGACATTCGTAGCGCGGTAAGAAGGCAACGAGCAGAATCACGGTGGTGCCGAATAAATTGAGCTTCATGTCAGGATTTCAGCTGGGAATCTGCGAAGTAAAAAAAAAACAAAAACAAACCAAAACATATTTAGGATTTATGTTGTTGGACGTGCGTAAAAAGAAAATTACGCACGGATCACACTCCATGGATAGAGCCACTGGGGAGCCAATGTATCCATCGATTATTTCTAAATAATTTCAATTTACATTAAAATCTATATTAGTAGAATAAATTGAAATATATATATTTTTTAATTATGCATCTGACCTCAAATTATTGGTTTATATAGAGCCCTATAGTAAGATATTACGAAAACAATAAAACTTAACAAAATAAACAAAAAAATAATTGGATATAAATCTCTTTTGGTTTTAATTAACAATATAAAACACCCCAAGTAAATAACAGTATTAAAAGTGTCCAGGAATATTTCCCTACCTTCAGTACAGGTAGTCCAGAAGTCTACAGCCGTGTAGGTTGCCAGGTATAGTTGGCGAGATGCCGCCCTCCTTCTCTTCTCCGCAGAGACAAGTATATAGTTACTTAAAGGCGGAAGGGATGCTGAATGGACTTATATAGAGCTACCGTCACTACAAGCGCTTTCCTGTGAGCCCCAGATTGAGTCTGCGCGTCCTCGCGAGTGGAACGTGAATGGACGCCTCTGACAAAGTGCTTTAGTTTGGATGGGATGACTCATACGTGTGCGTGCGCGCGCGTGAACAAACATCTACCTTCCCCCCATTTGCGCTTGGAAGATCAGGCCTAAACAGGTGCCCCACCTACAGGCATTTATTTTTATATTTTTTTCTGGAAATGGTTAGTTGGAAATTCAAGAAGCATTTTAGCTTAAAAGTTAATGGAAGGGATGGATCAATATAAGCTCTAAGTTGTGTGTTTTTATATATTCATGTAATTAATTGTACACTTAGTTGAAATTTCTGTTTTTCACTCATGGATGCATTATCAAAAATATTAAAAAAATGAATACCTGCTCTTTAACAGGTGCATTTAAAATGAGTTATTTCTGCTTGTTGGACCAAAATAATGACTTTAAAGCAGTTCCTCAATTGACCTCAGTTGCAATTAATGAATGTGCATTTGCAAACACCTCAGGCTCACAGAGAGACATCGGCTCCAGTGATTCATTGCAGCTGCACATATGTACGTCACTACCTCTCCTTACTGACTTGGCCACCTTGTTTTAGAGGGGGGACCTGCTGCAGAAACTTGCTTTCAAGATGAAGAGCTTAGTCTAGTAGAAAAACCTTTGGAATGTTAAATAATTTCAATCTTTAACACCCCAGTTTCACCCTTTTTTGCTATTATGCTGTAATACCTCTTAAATTCTTTCTGACTGCTAATGGCAAAGTGTGGGGCTCCAATAGAGTTGGCAAAACCTTTTAGTCAGTAACTTGACATTGGGATGGAACTTTTTCCATTACTCTTAAAGAGTAACC